TCTGTGTGTGTGTGTGTGTGTGTGTGTGTGTGTGTGTCTCCCTCCTGCCCCCCTCTGGCTCATGCTCTGTCTCTCAAAAATAAACAATAAATAAATAAATAAATAAATAGTCTAAACATTCCAATTAAAAGGGTTGGACTGTAGAAGTTCTTTATATTTTTTGAGTCCTAGTCATTTCTCAGATACAGGTACTGGGAATTTTTTTTCCCAGATTATGGCTTGACTTTATTTTATTTTGATGAAAACATTTTAATTTTTTAAAAACAATCTCAAACATATAGAAAAAGTAATAAGAACTATTTTAGTTTGAATCATTTGAGAGTTACCAATCTGATACCACATCATCCCCAAAGACTTCTGTGTATGTTCCTCACAAACAAGGACATTGTCCTACAGAACACAATAGAATCAAGAAAGTAACACTGACACATGCAATCATATTCCCATTTAAGTTTTACAAATTATCTCAATCCTATAACATAAATGGATCCAGTTCAATACCACACATTGAATTCAGATGTATCTTTAGTCTCTTTCAGCCAGAAACTTTTTCAGTCTTTCTTTTGACCTTTATAACCTTGACATTTTCGACGATGACAAACCAATTATTTTCTAAAATATCCTTCCATTTGTCTTTTTAATGTTTATTTATTTGGTGGTGGGGGGGGGGGAGAAAGTGGACAGAGAAAGGGGGAGAAAGGGGGACAGAGAATTCTAAGCAGGCTCCATGCTGTCAACACACAAACCAACATGAGGCTTGATCTCATGAACCGTGAGATGATGACCTGAGTTGAAATCAAGAGCAGTTGAAAACCTTAACCAACTGAGTCACCCAAGCACTCCTAAAATATCCTTCAATTTGGATGTGTATTAGATTTTTGTATAATTAAACCCAGTTTCCATGTGCATACCCAATCATTCCAACACTTGCTGAAAAGTCCATCCTTCCCGCACTGGTTTGTAATGTGTTCTCTATTACATAGTACGTTTTCATACACATGGATCTGTTTCCACACTTTCTATTCCATCCCACTTATTTTTCTGCCTAAATATCACATTGTTTTAATTATCATAGCTTTATATCACTAACTACACTCTGTTCTGCAGTTATTATGCTCTGAACACAACACTCTTTCATAATCTCTGTGTTAGCATAAACTGTTCTTCTCTCCTACTCCCAACACCACAAATTCCCAATCAATCTACCAACCAAAATAAAAAAATTCACAAAAATATTATTCTTTTAAGATCCTCTTAAACATCAACTTTTCTACAAGTATTTTCTAAATCCCAGAGAATTAACCCCATTTTTCTTGTTCTACACAGTACTCAATTCAAATCTATATAATATCATGAAAACACACTAGGGCTGAAATTATCTATTTACATGACTGTCTCCTTCAGTATACTATGAGTTATTCAAGGTGCAGGTAGCATGTATAAAGTCTGTACTATTAGGATGCAGCACAGAAAGTGGATATAATAATACAGTTTAGAAAGCATAAAGAAAATCCCTAAGTGTGTCTGTGTGTTTTAAGAAGCAGGTCTCCATTTTGCAGATACTAGAAGCTACAGCAATATCTTCAAAGTAAACGTGTACTAAGGATACCTGAAAAATAAGCACATGCATACCTTCAGTGTCTTGATCATAGTTGGATCAGTTGACCTAACATAGAAACTCTTCAGATAAGGTTCAAACATACCCTAGATTATAAAAAAATATATATATAAATACATTTATGATACTAATGCATTCATTTCTCTCTTGAATTATGTGTTCACAATGTACGTACCTTTCTTTGAATTGACATAGTTGCTATATTCTGTAGGACAATATACTGCACCTCCCTAGAAATTAAAGGAGAATTTTTACTGAATATATTTTCCAATTACGTATCTTTATGTAAACAGTATATTAAAGAAAAAAAAACAGCAATAAGCTTCATATTGCATTCAACTTGAATATAATATTAAAAAGTTTTTAGTAAATTTTACTTTTCAATATCTTCTTTTTAAACACACTTTTCCTATAAATTATTAATAAATTGGATTTGATTCATCATTAGAAAATTAAAAACCAATTTTATAATCCTGTAACTCCGAAGATGTAAAGCCAATACTGTAGCTGCTCTGAACACATGCAAGGAAAGTATTCTTAGGGCTAAGGGAATAAACATAACCACAGTATTAACACAAACTCTTGGTAAGATGCTCACTGCGTCACTCAATTATGAATTATGACTAGAGTGAAAAGATAGAGTAAAAAAAAAAAAAAAAAAAAAAAAAAAAGTCATGTTCTTTTATGTCCAAATAGCTAAGACATGAAGGTAGAAATGAATCTGGTATAAAGCTTCATGTGAAAGATGCATTCCAGATCCTCTGATAACCTTTGAGCTGGCTGTAGAAAATAAAATTATTGGGGCACCTGGGTGGCGCAGTCGGTTAAGCGTCCGACTTCAGCCAGGTCACGATCTCGCGGTCCGTGAGTTCGAGCCCCGCGTCGGGCTCTGGGCTGATGGCTCAGAACCTGGAGCCTGTTTCCGATTCTGTGTCTCCCTCTCTCTCTGCCCCTCCCCCGTTCATGCTCTGTCTCTCTCTGTCCCAAAAATAAATAAACGTTGAAAAAAAAAATTAAAAAAAAAAAAAAAAGAAAAGAAAATTACTGAACTGATAAAAAGGAAAAGAAGAGGAAAGAACAGGAACACAAAGGACCTCACTAAGGAATGGCAAAAGTCAGCCCAGGGCTAAATAGTTATGGTGCTGAAGTCACGTTAAAGACAAAAATAAATATGCGTCTTCCCCCCCGCCCAACTCTATTAGTAGAGGTAAGCACTCACTGAAAAAAATTTTTTAATTTAACTAATTATTAACAAAATATTCAGGGTAAGGTAAATAGCTGAAACAATGTTATAATTCTTAATACATAGTAAACAAAACAAATGATAAAAATCTGATATTAAACTTTGCCAAAACATTTTCAATCTCTTTGGGCTTGACGTTAAAAACATTTTATATTTATCTCTAACCTAGAGATAAATTATGTAAAGGCTTTAATCATGATCCCTTAAGTATGAAATCTTATTGATATAATACAGAACCATGTAATAAATGTCTGAAAGACAGATGACATTTATTCAAACATTACCTTTGAAGGAATACAAAAGAAATAACATATAAAATCACGTCCTACCTATTGCTACGAAGTAAACGCACTAGTGACTTAGAAATAATGCCAACTTCAGATTTTGGTGATATGTGCCAATACAGCTGAGCAACTGCCATAACCACCTAAAAGATAAAGTATGAAAACAACAGCTATGAACACGGGAGCATGCTACAGTTTCAGAGTATTTGTACATTTGCTACAGTTTCAGAGTACATTTCTACAAATTGTTTCTTTAACTCCAGCAAAATCCATGTGAAGTAAGATGGATATGTTGCTACCCTTTGAAGCAGGCTGAAGAGTGTTCTCCCAAGAATTCATGTCTACCCTCAGAATATGACCTTACCTGGAGATAAAATCTTTGCAGATATTATTAAGATAATGATGGAGATGAGATCACAATGGATTAGGGTATGCCCTAAATCCAGTGAGTGTCCTTAATAGAGACATAAAAGGACAGACACAGAGAAGGCAATGTGAACATTGGACGAAGAGATCGGAGGGAAGAATCTGTAAGCCAGGGAATGCAGAACTGTTAGCATCCACTATACACCAGCAAAAAGCAGTTTCTCTCTTAGAGCCTCCAGAAGGAACCAACCCTTCGATATCCTACTAAAAAGTGAGAAAATAAAGTTCCGTTGTTTTAATTCACCTGGTTTGTGGTAATTTGTTATGACAGCCCTAGGAAACTAATACAGAGGAGAGAACAGAAAAGAAAATAGATGTTATGAGAAAACAGATGTTAAATGAACTACCCAAAGTCTGCTTGGCAGTACAAAGCAAAGCTTGATACAACACTCCAAATCCCCTATTCTTCTTAATACTGCTGCTTCTGCTCTGAAATTGGGAATATTTTAAAAGTGGTAAGCATGCCTTTCCACATGAAGCCCAGATACTTTAGGACAAAACTAACAATCTGAAAATTTAAAAAAATCAGTATGTGAAAGTTACAATTAAACGGATTCTATTAAAACAATTCCTCTAAAACAGCATTTGAAATGATCTTCTTTTTCTCTAAAATGCAGAACCTTAAAAATAGTCTTTGCTTCAAAGCCATTATAAGGGTGATAAAATATAAGAGTACAATGTTTCCCCTACATGCCTCTACACTTAGATCTAGACATCAAAAGTCCAAACTGGAAAGTTATCCAGCTTTACTTGTGACAAATGCAGAAATAGTTACATCATCTTGCCTTTAGCTCAGAAAATACAGTACTACTACTTTACTTCTGCTTAGTCTATAAAGTAGTAACAAATACATAGCAGGGATTTTACATATGCTTAAAGAGTATACAATACCTGAGGATGCTTGAGATAAAGAATTTCCTTCTAAAATTAAGAAATATGTTTTAAAAATACAGTTCTCAGAGTCCTAAATGCACTGTTTGGCACTTTGTTGTACTTTTTTTTTTATAAGACTGATTTATAGCTTTCAGATATTGGGATTTTGAGGAGTTTAAGGATATTTTATTTCTTCAGTTATGATCCACAAATACACTCTAGTTACAGAACAAACTCTCCAGGATTTAAAATCTTATAAAATAAAATATCAATTAATGACTGTTTTAATCTAAAGTAGGTGATAGTCATTTAAAAAAATATTAAAGCAGGGGCACCTGGGTGGCTCAGTCGATTAAACATCCGACTTTGGCTCAGGTCATGATCTCACGATTCCTGAGTTCTAGCCCTTTATTGGGCTCTGTGCTATCAGCCCAGACCCCACTCCAGATGCTATGTCCACCTCTCTCTGCCTCTCCCCCACTCATGCTTTCTCTCTCTCAAAAATAAATAAATATTTTTAAAATATTAAAGCATACAGCTGGCTAATAAGTATTAGTATATAACAGAAAAGCTGAAGCTTTCTTTTCACGTATTTTACAGAAAATAATTAAGTCATTTTCTGTTAAAAATAGTAAGCCAAATGCTACTGGAAAGAAGATAAACTGTACTTTCTATATGTGTCAAGGCTTTTAAGATTCTAGATGCCACTTAGCATGTCATCTCCTCTCATATGTTAATTAGGGCACTCCCTCAAGCCCTCAAGGGCTACATACTCTTATTCTCCCCCAGTATTTACAAATCTAACAGTTTAAAGTTTCTTCTATAACCAGAATTTGAAATTTGTAGTCTAATTTGTAAAAGCTCTGTAAGAGGGAAGCTCCCATATCTCCAAAGTCCAAAATAAGTAAAACATACAAATTGGATAGGCCTTGTACAGTTACATGATGTACATTCATGATACAAGTATATCCTATAAGCACTTTTCTATTCCTAACTACTGATACCACTATCACCTTATTTAGACCGTTAGAGCAGCCTCCCAACACTGTTTCCAGTGCCCCATGCCTGCAATTCAAACTACACAGCACTGACCAAGTAAGTTTCCTGAAAAAAAAATTCTCAAAGTCTCTCCTTTAACTGAGAACAGGGCTAAAATAAAGAAATCTGTTCGCAATCCTTCAAGCCAGGCTTTACATGTGTTTGGCAGCATCAAATATGCAGGACACCAAAACATACTGGGACAAAAAGGGAAATATGTCCATTTGGTACACAATCAAGTAAGCAGGGAATCAAAACATATTGGGACAAGAAATATAAGCTACTTCTATTTGTTTCACCATTCAAGAACATTTTTGATCAGTAAGTATTTGGATTATAAAATCAATTCCCAAGGCAAAGTTAAACAGTGAGTCAATTATGAAGAATGGTTTTGGGTGGTAAGTTACAGCTACTTAAATACAAGCTGGCCAAGCTGGGCTCAGTGAAACAGAATCATATTTTACAAAATAATATTTTTTATTACTGTGTATGGTTATTTAATAGTGATATAGAAATTATTTTTTTCAACGTTTATTTATTTTTGGGACAGAGAGAGACAGAGCATGAACGGGGGAGGGGCAGAGAGAGAGGGAGACACAGAATCGGAAACAGGCTCCAGGCTCTGAGCCATCAGCCCAGAGCCCGACGCGGGGCTCGAACTCACGGACCGCGAGATCATGACCTGGCTGAAGTCGGACGCTTAACCGACTGCGCCACCCAGGCGCCCCTAGAAATTAAATTGAGGTATAAGAGAAAAACTTCTGCTGATTACTAGGATATATATACAAAACTCTAAGCTCTAAATTCACAAGCATCAGAAAACTTAAAGTAATTCAAGTACAGTTCCACATTTTCTAAGTTTTTACTAGTTAAACAGAGTAATTAATTAAGAACATTTTTAATTAAAAAATATTAAGAAAATGTTTTACTTGACTCCATCTAACGTTTAGATATAACTTCCAGTTAACAGGTAAAACAGAGGTACAGAAGAAAAAATTAAATAGCACTATAAAAGAAGCAAAGAGAAAACCCAGAAGAGTATTCTGCAAGACTTGAGAGGTTTAAGAACAATAACAACCAGGTGCAAGAGATACTGGTTTAGATTATCTATTTATAAAAGATAATTTAAGATAAATTGGCATTAAATGAGATGAAATTTTACTGAAATAGAGAGGACTGACTAGGGAAAAAAAGATTAAAAAGTACTATATGCAGTATGATTTTTATCTTAGTTTAAAAAATACATATGTGTATATATACGCACATGTGAATATACATATATTTATGCAGAAAAAGGATCTGGAAGAAAATGCATCAAGATATTATACAGTGATTTCTGAATGATTGGAATATGATATTTTAAGTTTTTTTAAATTTCTGCGAGTCCCTACTTCCTAATTTTTTATTGTGTACATGTATTGTTTTGAAATATAAAGTATATTTAAAATAAGAAGACGTAAAACAAAATAAAACAAGCTCAGGACTCAAACGAAGATGATTTTTAATTGTTAGTCAACCCTACCAACTAAAATTTATTATGGATGTGGTGTTATGCTAGGAGCTTTTTTCTATGTTAGCCTCTTAAAAATTCTTACAAGGTTCATATAAATACTATGGACTGATACCAGATTAAGTGCTCTCAACTACAACCAAGTAACAGAAATATGCAGTCTTCCAATCCACTGAGAAACATCTTAGGAAAAGCCAATTAACAAAACCACAAAAAAGTAAATGAAGTCCAGTAGGTATATAACTACCAAGCCAAGTAATCTAATAAAAGCCTGATTTTTGATGTATAAACAAATAAACAAACAAATGATCCAGTAGCACACTAAAAAATAAAGACTTGTTTACTGAACTTACATACTTTTAACCACTGTTTAAAAAAAAAACAAAAAAAACCCATGATTTTTGTAAGGTTTAACATACCGCTGCATTCCTACTCTGAAGTAAAGGCTTTGTATTCCGAATTAAAAGTCTATGGTCTGGATCCATAGTATATGACTTCTTCCTTTTGTCAGTCTTTTCCTTCTGGTCATCATCAGAGTCATAGAAATTCTTTTCATCGTCTTCTAAACCGTCTTCCTATAAGAAACAAATAAAAGAAAACTTTCTTTTTACCATCTACTCTAGTATTTTACTGAAGAATATTACTGTTAAAGAGATTTGAAAATACTATGCTACCTGTATAAAAGAAAGGCCTTGCTTTTTATAACAATGTAACTGTCTTTTAGTGCTATAGATAATACTTCTTTCATATTACATAATAATACTTCTTTTATATTACATAGTAAACCTCTGAAAATATTAAATCCTCACAGATATATCTATAGGTGACCAAAGGCAAAACTTGAACATGAGACTCTAACAAAGCTTATAAGATGAGACTACCTAAAACCTGAAAACTATCTCCATGCATTATCAGTCAGTGTATAACTGGATCAAAGGGTCAGAATAAAGAGAAGTGTTTCAACTGCAGCACACATAAAAGAAATCGCAATAAAACTTGACAGGTTAAAAACGAGTGATTAAGTAGCAAGTCTCTGTGTTGTCAGGAAAAACTCTGTTTGATACCTATATATATCCAGAGGTTGATTCTATATTTTTGACTTGTACTTTTAATTTGAATGCATTAGTATCTCTGCCAATAAAATCTGCCTAGAGGCATTTAGTCTTAAAAACAAACAAACAAACAAAAAGCATACAAAGACAATAATATCCACCTCGATCTAATCCAACGATTGTTTACAGGTAATTTCTATTATCACACTTTCTACTGTTGAAAAGATGGGAGCAGATGTACTTTTTCCTATTCCTCTCACTATGTACAACTAGAAACTGGAGATGTTACATATGAAACAAACTTAAGCAGGGAAAGGAAGAGAGAAGAAAGACTAGATATGGACCCCATGACCCAAAGAATGAAACAACAGTAAGTTCCTTGGATTTTCATTTTTAGTCATATATCAAAGAAGCTGAGTGCTAGAGAAGCTGATAACCCAAAAACGCCAAGCACAGATGAAACAAACCCTCCAAAAGCCAAAGGACCAAAAAAAGAAAATCTAGCACGACAAAATTTTTCAGAAAATAACTGCTCTCGTACAGCTACTGATAGAGGGAAAAAAAAAACTAAGGCCTCATTCCCACCCCTACTGGCAAAGGGTGAGGTGGGAACTTCCCCAGCTGTAATGAGATGCCTCAATCAACCCACTGGGGTGATGTCAGAAAAGGCCTCCACAGCCCAAGACTTTAATCTCCACCAGGAGACAACAAGGCATCCCCAAGGTGTCAATAAAGACAAAGCAGGTTACTTGCATATCTAAGTCCTCCCATCAAGAACAAAGTGACCTCAACCCTCCCTATTGAGCTAGTGTTAAGAAAATACTGAGGACACTCAAGACTTATAGCACCACCACCCAGTGGTAACAAGGACACTACCCAGGAAACATGGGGAACAACGAGGCATTTCTATCCCTCCCCGCCTGAGAGCAATCAGGAGAGAATTAGTAAGCAGCCAGAAATCCCCCATTTACCCACAGTAACAGCGAGTGCAACCTCCCCGAGGTATCAATGGAGGCTGAGTGGGGAACCCGGACTGCTACCATGATTAGCAGTAAGAAGGCGGCACGCACTCCACCTTTCCTTAATGAAATAGTATCAAACAAACCCAGCTAAAACAGAAGATCTGAATAAGATCCAGAATCTCATGATATTCAAAATGTCCAGGTTTCAATAAAAATTATTCATCATTCCAAGAACCAGGAAGATCTCAAACTGGATGAAAAAAGATAACCAGTAGAAGCCAACACTAAAATGATAGGAATATTAGAATGATCTGATTAAAATTCTAAAGCAGCCATCATAAAAATGCTTTAATGAGCAACGAGGAACACTCCTGAAACAAATGAAAAAACAGAAAGTCTTAGCAAAGAGTTAAAATCTGAAGAAACAGAATATATAAAGATCTCACGGTTGGTGAAATCAAGCCCCATGTCGGGCTTTGTGCTGACAGCGTGGAGCCTGCTTGGGATTCTCTCTCTCTCCCTCTCTAAAAATAAATAAGTAAACTTTAAAAAAGAAAAACACAAGAATCAAAATTAAACAATGACTACAATCAAAAGCAGTATTAAGGGAAAAAAGGAACTATCAGTGAACTCAAACATAATGAAATAGAAATGGCCCAATCTGAACAACAGCGAAAAAACAGACTGAGGACAAAGAAAAAAACAAAAACAAAACTTAAAAACAGAACTTTGGGGACCTAGGGAACTATAGCAAAATAACATCTCTTGTCATCTGAATCTTGGAAACAGAAGAAAAAGCGTGGGGCTGAAAAAGTACTCTGAGAAACAATGGCTGTCTGCTTTGGATTCTGTGTCTCCCTCTCTCCACCCCTCCTCTGCACACTGTCTCTGTCTCTCTCAAAGATAAATAAACTTAAAAAACAAAGAAAGAAAGAAAGAAAGAAAGAAAGAAAGAAAAGAGAAAAGAAAAGAGAAGACAAGAAAAAGAAAAAAAACGACAAAAAAAACAAAAAAACGACAAAAGAGAAGCTAAAATACTCAAAAATAATGGCTGGAAAATTCCTACATTTGGCAAAAGTAGTAAAACGACAGATTGAATAAGGTCAGTAAAGCTTAAGTAAGGCAGATATAAATCCATAACAAGACATATTAAGTCAAACTTCTGAAAACTAAAGACAAAGAGAAAAAATCTGGAAAGCAGTAATATAGAAATGACACTGGAGAGGATGAGGTAATGAATCAGAGTGATTAGCGATAAGGATGAAAATGTCAGATAGGTTTAATAACTACTCAGAGGCTGAAATCAACAGGATGCACTGAGTGAATGTGAAGGAAGAAATAGAAACACTTAATGAGGATGCCCCAAATTCCTAGCTGGGATAACCGAGCAGATCATGATGCTACCAGGTAAGCTAACCTTGTCCAGGAGGGAAACAGTCTCTCTCTTTTTCAAGGCTGCTTGCTATATAAACATCCTTAAAATATAGTCCAAAATAAAACCTACCAATGCTTTTTACTCAGATGAGCTGTAAAAATGAGGAAAACCCATGAAGGACCATCTCCTAGAAATTTCTTTTGTTCATGACTAACCTGCTTCTATTCTTCCAAGTGAATGTTCTTTCTGTAAATTCACAAATTCCCCGCGGCAAAAGAAAATGTATAATTTTTGTGATCTCTAATCATTTTTACTTTAACATGGCAGAACAGTTTTTAAAAATTATATAGTTAAGTAAAGAGTTCCTAAACTTGACACCAAAAGCACAGTCAATAACAGAGAACATTTGGATCTCATCAAAATTAAAAACTCTTGCTCCATGAAAAACCCTCTAAAGAAGAATAAAAAAATTCTAGACCGGCAGAAAATATCTGCAACCACATATATGACAAAGGACTAGTATCCAGAATATAAAGACAACTCCCAAAACTCAACAGTAAGACAAAAACAAAAACAAAAACCCACAATGAATTCAATTTAAAAAGGGGCAAAAGGTATTGTTATGGACTGAACTGTACTTCTCACCCTCCAAATTCACATGTCAAAGACCTCATTCTGGAAGTGACTATACATTAAACTAGGGCCTTTAAAGGAGTAATTAAGTGTAACTGAGACCATTTGGGTGAGACCCTAATCCAATAGGACTGGTATCTTTATAAGAAGACACCAATGGTGGCACAGAGAAAAAACAAATGTGAGTACATAGTAACAGGACAGCCATCTGCAAGCCAAAGAGAGATGCCTCAGTAGAAACCAAATTTGCCAACACCTTGATCTTTAACTTCCAGCCTCCTAGAAGAACTATGAGAATGTGAGAAATAAATGGATTCATCAAGTCACCCAGTCTGGTATTTTGTTATGTCAGATCTAGCAAACTAATACAGACATCAACAAAGAACTCTTTGGAAACAAAAGGAGTTTTTTTTAAATACCCACCTTCAAAAGTAAACTAGAAATTGTAACATTATCTGTACTTCCCTAATGATAAGCACTGCTGAGCATCTTTTCATGTGTCTGTTAACCATCTGGATGTTTTCTTTGGAAAAGTGTCTATTCGTGTCTTCTGCCCATTACTTAACTGAGTTTGCAGGTATGTCGTTTGCAAATATCTTCTCCCATTCCATAGACTGCCTTTTAGTTTTCTTGACTGTTTACTTCACTATTTGAATGCACAATTCAAAATAAACTACTTCAAGTTGACCCTTGAACAACATGGGGTTTAATGACCCACACACAGTTGAAAATCTGAGTATAATTTTTGACTCCCAAAACACGTCACTACCGATAGCCTACTGTTAATTGAAGCCTTATTGATAACATAAACAATCAATTAACATATACTTTGTATATGTATTACATACTGTATTATTACAATAAAGTTAACTATATAAAAGAAAATGTTAAGAAAATCATAAGAAAAAATACACATACAGGACTGAACTACAGTTACTGAAAAATACCTATGTATAATTGACCTGCATGGTTCAACCTGTGTTGTTTGAGAGTCAATTTTACTTCTCTCCCAGTCCTTTAAAAGAGAGGAAAATAAAAAAAAAGAGAGGACTGTAATTGAAATAAGTACTCTTTTTTTTAATTTGCATTTATTTTATGCAGAATTTACTCCTGGCACCTAAGTTTTTGTTTCTTCAGTTTCTTCTGGGGTGTCTTTTTCTTCTGCACAACCTCCTCTTCTGGTGTAGAAACAATCTGATCTTTTATAGTAAATATCATGTCAATGTGGAAGGGACAGCTCATGTATGGGTTAATCTGACCATGAGCCCGGTAAGTTCTATGTTGCATCTTGGGGACTTTGTTCACCTGGATGTGTTCAATGACCAATCTATACCTAAACCCTTAAGCTCAGCAATACTCTCTGCATTTTTAAGCATGTGCAGTAAAAATTATAGCACTCTTTTTAAGCCAGCGACCCTGTGTCCAGCCCCACTATTTTTGGCCTGGGCACACCTACCAACTCCATCATCGTAGTGATGGAATGGCACACATTGCTTCTGTGAAGTGATATTTTTCAGATACTTGGTGGCTTTTTGGATATGCATACCCTTGAT